GCATCAGGAGGTGCTGAGCGCTGTGATGCTGGAGGCAGTCAAGAGAAAACTGGACCACCCTCTGCCAGATCTGCTTGGATTTGGATTCCTGCCTTGAGCAGGGGGTTGGACTGGATGACCTTCGGGGCCCCTTCCAGCTCCATTAGTCTATACTTTTAAAGAAAGTAAGGCATTGTTAGAATTTGGATGGGAGACCATCGACTCTGTTTAATGCTAGGAAAGAATGGAAAGGGTCTGATTCGCTAGAAGGCAGCATCCAGTGTCAAGAGGCACCCGAAGCTCAGCGGTACAGCACGCATCCAGTGGGAAGGCCCTAATTTCAGTCCCTGGTATCCTGCATGATGCATTGCTGCCGGTCAAGGTGGGCAAAGTCGGCCTGGAAGGACCGGCAGATGAAGGCGACATCCTAACTCTTAAAAATTGGAGGCAGCCATTGTTGGAAAGCGACTGAAACACAAAGCAATCACACGGGGAGAGACCGTGACCTTTTTGGGTGAGAACGTGAACGCTTAAATGAAGGGAAACTTCACAAATGTTAAACAAAAGGTATTAACCTTTAGCATTGGAGGAGAGAGAGATGTTGAGTAGGGTTGCTAGAAAATGCATCGGGGAAGGGTGGAAGAAAGGGAGATAAACCAATACACTAGCAGATTAGATTTACAGCATATTTTTATATGATTCTGCTCAGCAGTCAGTCTCCTGCTTTCCACACCACTCACTCCCGTGTCAGTGCGCACAGCCTCGCAGCCTAAGAGGAGGGCAGCTGGAGGTGGTGGTGTCCTTTAGAAGCTAGTTTATATTCATTTCAGCTTATATTTCTCACAACGGAGCCAGAACCTTTCTTCAGCTGCTAGAAGACTTATCCAGCCCACATAAGAAGTCAATTAGAGTCTCATTACTTTGTTAATGTCCAGTGGGACATCACTGATGATGTATTTAGTTGGTTCCTCGCATGGGTTTTGCTGCAATGTGGATTACAATATATGAGGTAATGTTACAGGCCATGTAGACTGCCCATCAATTAATACAGTGAACTATGCAGCACCTCATCAATTCCTTTTGTGTGCCTTTTTAAAAAAAACACCAAGGGTCACTGGTTTATATACTGGGAGGGAATATTAAAATGTCCATTGTTTAAACCCTGGTGCCTCCCTCACGTCTGGACCTGAATTCCTTTTGTCACAAAAAAAAAATCCCCTAGAAATATGCCACAAAATTACCTAGAAAGAAGAGAAAAGCTCACCAAATCCTTTCTCTCCAAGGCCTACTTGAAGGATTCGTGAAAAGAGGTAGTAAGCGGAGAGTTATATAGATTATATTTTATTTGAAAAGAACAGACCAGTTCAGGAAAGGCAACCTTCCAGCGTTAAGCCTTGGTATTTACCTCAGGAGTGTTTAAAAACAAACTCTCTTAAGTTCCAGTCCCTGGCATCTCCCAGGGCCGGAGGGGAGGAAACCCTGCCTCAGACCTGGGAAAACCTGGCCAATTCCCATCACCAGGAGGAAACGGAGCACAAAAACACAACAAAGAAAGTCGGGTAGACTTTGCTGAGCCACCATGATCAACAGTCTCACCTGACAGGAGGCAGCTTCCTGTCATCTGCTGTCGGTCTCCACTGAGTCCAGCTGAGAACATTTTAGATTCTTCCTTCAGCGCCCCTGCTCCATTTCAAAACCTCTCCATAGCTTGATTTTAAGTTTAAGCAACTTCTATGTCATACACAGCAGTTGGAATTCCATTGTTTTTAAGTGTTTTGGGGGGGAGGTTAGCCTGTGGAGCAAAAGGTAAAAAGCCTTGCAGAGTTACTGTTAGAGACTGAGGGATTGATCACAAAGGGACGACACAGCTTCCCCAAACCCAGGGTCCTCCATGGAACATTGACTGCCGTTCCCATCATTCTTCAACCCAGGGCCATGCTAGCCGAGGGAGGAGGTCGTTCCAAGCATCTGAAAGCCACCAGATTAGGGAAGGCTATCATCATGCACGCACGAGTTTCAGAGTACCTGCAGGACTCCCTCTCTCTTGGGTTTCCTGCAACTGACATATTCTGTGTGATTTATTATTCTTATTCCTATTCTTATTATTACCCCACCTATCTGTTCAAAATGACCACTCTAGGCGGCTTCCAGACATATTCCCACTTTTCCCTCTTCCCAAGACAACGGATGAATCTCTGCTTCTCCTTCCAATGTTTATCTCTAAGGCTGGAACAGTATCATTTCGTACAAGCTGGAGAATTCTGCTTAGTGGTTCTAAATCACCACTACAAGCTCAAAAAACCTGTTTTGGAAAAATTTGAACCTGAATTTTAACCAGTCATTGAAACGTTGCAGGCAGATACGCACGGACACCCACCCGCCTGACCCTGAGTGGCCATCTCAGGGTCGGATGCCCATTGCTCCGGATAAAATGGGTTGTTGCTGGATTCGATGGTGGGCTAAACCATCCAGAATCCTCCTCCTTTTTCTCCCTCTCTCCCTTTTTCGCCCCCCCTCCCCTTTCTTTCCAAAAGGGTGTTGTTACTGTACAAATAAAAATGTAGGTCAGCCAATTTGGAGCTCTCAGAGCGAGGAGTTCCTTCTGCTCTGCCCCTGCAACCCACCCCAACCCACCCCCCCCCCCGTTGTTGACCTGAGGAGCAGCAGCTGCAGAAGGAAGGCTGACATTCCTCCAAACAGCATATGTCAGTGATGGGAATAGGCGTTGAGGTCTCTCTCCTCTAACCCAATCAGTCCCTTGCTAATGAGATGTTTCGGCTTGACGGGAGTGTCCCACTGATGGAGCTGAGGGAGCATCTCGGATCCTAGGCAAGGGGGTGGAAGGCGGGCGGGGGGGGAGAGAGATGACGGCAAACCCTGTCGGGCTCTGGGAACAGCTTCCTTTCACGTCCATCTCATCCCATCCCGTTTGGGGAACCTTCCCTGAAACGCGGATGCTCCTGTTCCAGGCAAGGCACAGATGTGAAAAACAATGTGTTTTCGATCCGTTCCCCGGTCGCCCTCGTGCTGACGACCACTTTGGAGACGCCTGAACCCCCCCACCCCCACCCCTTGGGCTCTGAGCGGCCTTTGCCCCGGGGCAGCCATGAACTCCTGCAGAACTTCAACAGGGTGTCGGGAAAAGCAGGTTTTCTCGCCCAGCAGCCACACCAACGTTGTGCCTTGTGTGCAGCCGCTTGGCGTGCACGGCTTGCAAGTGGCCCCGTCGAAGAAAGAGGGCAAGAGCAGGGTTCCGGTGGTGAGATAGCTCCCACCCAACGCGGGTCGCCATCCCTTCTCTAAACACTTAATCCCCCTCCCCATCCATTACAAACATTATAAAGGACTAGAACCACCTTTTAATGTTTTAAACTGACATCTTGAGGAAAGAGGGACACGTCCATATGAATCCTGGGTTTGACAAGGACACAAGATGGGAGCTGGGAAGAAGTGGATTTCCAGAAAAGAAACAGGTTGGTAGGTCGTGGGAGATGCTTAGCCCTCCCCTCAAAATGACACCTTCCCTTTTGTAGCCCCTCCAATCCCACCCCCACCCCCACCCCACGGTCCCATCAAGCCATTTTAACTCCACTGACCGAGCAAAGACTTTTCATGAAGTTTCCAGCCACAGGAAAGTGATGTCCGGGATATAAATTATGCACAGGATTTGTTACGAAGTTCGAGCAGTACGTTTATAGGGCTGCTTAACACAGTAGGAACATTCTGCCCAGGAGATCCCATGGAGGGAAAGGTATCTCACCTGTACGTTCGGTCATGCATACCTGCGCTACTGGGGAAACACTTTCCTAACGGGAGCTTTTCTGGCTTGTGCAAAGAGGGGCAAAGCACTGGAAGACCTTGTGCGATCAGAGCATCTCTCCCGTCATGCTCACTCTTCGGCATCTCCTTCCTTCTTCCACTAGAGGCCGGAAAAATCCTTGTTAGGCCTTTCCCTGTGGTCAAAATTGCAGGCATCGTGGATTAGTTTTTGTGCCTTTTAGGAAAAGTCCTCCATCACAGCCGTGTCTTTACTGCCCTGCCTTTGAGAACTTGAGGGGGCTTCCCTTTGGTTGGGATTTAAGGGCTTCCACCAATGCCACCTCGGTATCTAACAAAGGGCTCTCTGCGAGTCATTCTGTAAGATAAGTTGCTAGTCCCTCAGAACCATATCAACGTGTCTCTTTCACCAGAGGTACACCTTGCTCTTTTCCTCTGTTTTCTTTAAAATGACTATAAAGAACACCTAAATATTTCAGTCCATTCAAAATTAAATACTGACACTGAAGATAACGTTTTGCAAACTGTAGTTTCAATAGTGCTATTGTTTTGGTTTCGGGATGAAATGCTTCTTCTGTTTTATTTCACTGACGTTTTTATTATGTTATACTTTCAACTACCCTCAAGACTGCACTTTGAAAGGAAGTATGGAAATAATTAATGTCTAAAGAATGACACCTGCTTCCTTCTGTAAACTTGTCCAAAAAGATCCCACCTCTCCAAGGTAGTTCCGGGAAGGGCAGTTTCAGACGTGCGAGATGCTACAGGGATGGTTCAGGCTTCTTTTAAAAAGTGCGATCACTCGCTTCAATTGTCTTACGTCCGGAATGATGTGAAACAGGAACCCAGTAGAGGGAAGTATAGAACCATCAAGTCCCTGGTGCTTTTTCACACCTCAAATTTCACTTAATCTGAATAAACTGTGCTTGCACAAGTGAAATCATAGGCAAAGCCAGAGTATTAAAGCATTATCTTCAGTGGTTTTTTTAAAAATAAAAATAAAGTCAGTTAGATAATGACAGTTTTACCGTGCTATGCAAGTTTGTTTTCTCTTACACTAATCATACAGGATTTTTTAAAATGAGAAAAGGCATACCTACTTGTGCTAACTGGGCACGCGCCTGATTTCTGCTCCAGCTTTTGTGGAATAAAACCAAGATCGGTCCAGAGGTTTTTAACGGCAAATGCTTCAATCGGGCTTCTCAGCTGTCCTCAACCAAGTAAGACTCCCCCAAACTTCGAAGAAAATGGTAGGGACAACTGTACACATAGACTACAAAGTCTCAGATTTATTTCTTTATAAATATAAAAAAAGTTTGCACTTGCCTGCACACTAATTTTGAGGTATCAAAACAGATCAGCTGACACACGACACACACACTCAACACGCGCACACACGTATAAAAAAGGCAATCAATAGAAAAGTGGAGGTCAGGCGACAGAAGAACAAACCGACATAGGAGTTTATGACAGGTCTGCTCATGTAACAGTCAAATAGGGAAGTGTTTTTAAAAAATGAAACCACTCACAAGAACAGTCACGACCCGCTTCCTTCACAGCTTTCATTTCAATGTATTTCAGCCTCTCTCTCACGGAGCACCGCGCACAGAACCCTAGGGTTCAATCAAAGTTGATCTGCGGGCTGTCAAAGCCACTGTCCTGATGGAAAGCCGCCACGTCCCGCATCTGCTTCCTTGAATGCAGCGGGTGGCAGCTTTTCCCGGCCGTGGAACAGAACATGGCCCCGCTACGAGGGGCGTCAGAAGGGCTTAGATTGTCCGGGTTCGAACAGGGCACGCGAGAGGCCAAATGGCTCTCCTGACAAGGCGGGCCCTGCCTCCTGGTTACAGGCGACGTGTCCTGGGGACCACCCGGTCGCCAACAAAACACAGAAGCATCGTCCTTGGCCGGAGGAAAGTGACTGGCCGTGTAAAACTGTTCGCAGGGTCCTGCCTGCGCTCCAGAACGCACTTTCTGAAAAGGGTGCAGAGGCGCATCCCTCAGCAAAGTCCAGTCCAAAGAGGCTCCAGAATCCCTTACGGGAGTTTCCACAGTTTCTTGGCCTTGACTCTTCTCAAAGGTTGCCGTTCGATGTTTTACAGCCTGGACGCCATCCGGTTCTCTCAATCCCGTTTTTTCACTTGGGCGCTGAAACCCGCCACAAGCCGCCCCTGAATCAGCCGCGCCGCCTGTACAGCTGCTTGGGAGGAGGTCCTGCAGCTTGGCTTGAGAAAGACATGGAGGAGGATTCTGGGGTGCGCTGAGGGGAGGCAGACCACGGCTGGCACTTCCGTCCGCCGTGAACACCGTCACTGGCAGAGAGGGGGCTGAAGAACCACCCGGCGGCTTCAAAGCTCTCCCATCGGTCTGGGTCCGGGAAGCAACGGCCGGCGGGTTTTCTGCATCCAGCTGTTGCTGGAGGCTCCACGGGATGCGTCTGTGGGCAGCCGGGTTTTCGCCACGAGCGTGGCTTTCCGCGGGGATCTGCCTAGGATGATGCCTCTGAGGTTCTTCCACCTCAGCAAACAGCTTGGTGTTTTGTGACAGGGCTAGACGGAGGAGGAATGGAAAAAGGGATTATCAGATTAGGTCAAGCAAGTAACTGTGAACAAGCCCACCTTGTCAATACTCCTCCTTCAAGGGGCTCAGAATTCTTCACATGTCCTGAACCCTCATCAGAAGAAGGCAGAAATTCTGTGCATACCAGGATGCAAAACACTACCTGCCATCATTACGAAAGGCGTCGCTGTACATGGTTTTCGTGGAACCATACCTGACTGGGAAGCTTTTGGGTGGGATGCGTTACGGACCGGAGTCTCTAGTATCTTAGCCATGGTTGCTATTTTGCTGGCAGCAGAGATGATCTTCTTCTCAGCCCTGTAGGAAACCCAAGAAAAGTCTTCAGAAGCTCAGTCCTTTCTAGACTAAACGTGGCTCTACAGTAGCTCATGGAAGCGGCTTTTCTCCTCTGGAAACAGAAGTTAAGTCTTTCAAGGCAGGTTCAAGCTTCAGCAAAGGGCCCAGATAGATTTACGGACGTTTTTGCTAGTCAAAAGAGTGCTTACTGACTTCTTAAACACCCATCATTCAGGAAATCTGCAGAATTGTGCATAAAATGCTTATAGGATAGGATTACATTTCAGAGGGTCTGAGGAGAGAGATTGTTCCTGGACTGTGTGGCTGCGCCATCTCTGGCTAGGGGACTCACTACCGTTTCCCCTTTGTTGACGAGCTGAAAAGCAAGGGTGGAAGTTTTGTTTGGGACAACCAGCAAGGAAGTAATTTCCACCACCCCCACCCCAGCCAGATTCCACGACAACTTTTTTCCTGCTGGGCTCCACACAGTTCATCCAAACAGATCACAGCCTGGGTGGTTTCTTCCTCAGAAAAAAAAGTGGGGCAGGGGGGCAAGGAGGGAGCCTTGCCAAAAGCAGGCAGAGCAGGAAAGCCTACAAAGTAGATCCGGTTTATAAACTGACTTGGAGAAAGCACTGCCCTCAATGGTGGTGTGCCTGGAGACGTCACGGTACAGCTACCTCCTGCCCGTCAAGACCTGCAAGACCTTCTCTCTCCTCTGCAACTTATCTTAACGCTGTGTTGGCGTTGTTTTGCTGTGCTGTACATCCTGTACAGCCACTTTGAGAATATAATCGGAACGTTTGTAAAAATAAAATAAAAAAACACGTCTAGTTTAATAATATGTTCCTGTTTTATCTAAAGGAAAACGAATACTGAAGGTGGCCAAAGTATCTCATGGGGAAGGCAGCGCGTCTGTGGGTCTTGCTTGACTGTGAGCACTTAATAGGGAAGTGTGTCTATAACTATTGCAAGAACAAATAACCAACTTTTGGTGAATAAACCCCACAGTTGATAGGCAAGCAGAAGGCAGCGGTCAGTGGTATCTTTTCACCTAATATAATTGAAAATACTTCACCCTTCAGGCTTTCCATCATCCATCAGAAGCTGCTGAAGACAAATAAGGTAATATTTGCGCATCTTCCGGGTGGTCTCCTGACGTTCCCTTGACACTTCTGCTTTAATAATTTCTGCAGCTCGCTCTTTACTTTCGTGGATGTAACGAAGCATATCACCTACAAACAGGGTATCAGTTAATATTCGGCAAAGCACAGCGCACACACATAAGACCACGATTCGTCCAGAAAGGTAAAGGCAGGATATATATTACAAAAGTGACAAGGGGAAAAAACCCAGTATCATAGCGAATCAATTTTACGGGCAGTCTTGCTTGAGCCACTTTTAAGCACACAAACAGATGAATTCATTACTGAAGAACGAGGAACTTTTTTTAAAAAAAGACACTCACTCTTAATTTTCCCCACGGCTTTAATGTACTGAGAACGCATTTCTTCCAAAGCTTTTGCATCACAGGAAGCACATGGTTTTGAAATGCACCCTTCTGACGATGATCTAATAGAGCACAAAATACAGAACTCATAAGAGGAGTGCAGTTCGCACTGTTTCAAAAGAGCTTGCTCTTATTCTCCGCTTCATAAAAGGAAAAGCTCCTGCTCGCTCAGATCAAAGACCAGTCTAGCTCTGCTCAGATCCATGACTCTCCTGGAACTGCAGGCTCTGATAATTATTTTACCTTCTGTGACTGTGTTCCTTTTTTAAAAAAAGCTGTTCAAGTTGGTGGCTGTCAGTATATCTTGTGGCAGTGAGTTCCACAGTTTAACAACCCACTGCATTTAGAAGCACCTTATTTTATCTCTTGTATTTATGTTCATTGGATGACACTGGTTTTAGTATTATGCAAGAGGAACAAAAATTCATCCCTATGCTTTTTCTGCCCCTCGTTAATAATATTACATACTTCCACCATGTTCTTATTCTGTTTTATTAAACTTAAACCAAAAATGCATATGGTACCTTGGGGGAATGCTGGCTGATTTGAAATCTTCCAGTTTATTGTTAATTGAAGGGTTTTCTTCTGTTAAACTCTCCTCAATTTTTCCACTTTCTAAACAGAAAAGAACATAATAAAGCATTAATTTAACTGGGTGCTTATAAAGGAACCTATTCAATTTTTTTAAAAAACATGTACTATCTGTAGACACCACCATGGGTAGAGTTCCACAAAACGCTGGATACTTGCTTCTTGTCTACTGCTATTAAAATGTTTTTAAATCCAACAGAAAAATAAAGTATAGGCAATTCCATTTTAAAAACTTAGTATTTATTTATTTTTATATTTTTATTTATTTGGTTTTGGGGACAAACCCATGGACACTAATTTTATTAGGGAAGTTTGGCTGCAAGTGACTGGACCCAGAAGGTGGACAGAAGGTGCCCCCTCAGCCTTGAAACAAGAGCGCTGGCTGCTGGTGCATTTTGGAACCTCTCTAAAGTAGCAGCTTTAACTTTTAAAAGCCCTAAAGAATTTCCTGAATGCGCCACTTGACAAGGGGAAGAGGCTTTGGGATGGGGTGTCCGGGAAGCTCCCTTGTGGCCAAGTTTCACCTTGTTGGCCACCAAATGGAAGGGCAATAACCCATTCACAGCCTGACTATGAGAAAAGGAGGCCCACCAACCTTGAATTTGCTCGGACTTTGCTTTTTGCTCCTTTACTGCAGACTGGAGATGCCGGCAAGCTTTGTCCAGTTTCCGTTTCAAATCCTGGCATTCTTTTTCCTTTTTTTCAAGCTGCTGGTGACAATGTTGGCAGCACGCGCCTTCCTGGAACAACAGGTCCCTCGTCTTACACTTTGAATCTGCAGACGGCCAGCACAAACTGTTCGAGGCCACTGACGGGACTAGGAAAAGAAGAACACAAAAAGAAAGCACCAGATCTGTCTCCGCGGCCCGGTCCTGGCAAGGCCACAGACCAGGCCCAGTCCACGGACTGGGGGTTGGGGACCCCTGCTTTAAAGCAAAAAGGGGGGGAAAGGGGGGGGGAGAAGCCACATATCCTTGGATACAATCCAAAGTCAAGAGTGACTGCCTTTTTCTGGAATTTTTCATGTGTCACACCAGGCACCCAATATCTGTCTATTAGCGGTCTTTTCTCCACCTGAATGAATGGGGAGAGTTAACCCTCCTAAGGCCATCACCTGTCTCCAAATCGCACCACAGTGTTTGTGCAGTGCTGTTGCCCAGAGCATCAGGTATGGCTACGAAAAGCGACATTCTACCGCACACCAACTAGAGACCTTTAGACCACAAGGAAAGTCCAAAAAGAAAAGGGGAGGAGGGGGAAAAAAATAACTACCGGAACCCATCGGGGCCTCTTGCGAAGGCTGCGGCTTTCTCAGCCTTCGTTCCAGCTCTACTTGCTGCCCGACGTCGTACAGGAGCGGCCTGGCTGTGTCTCCCGTCTCCCCTTCGCCGCTTCGCATGTGGGAGTCTTCACAGGTTTTGGAAGGAGAGACCCGATCTTCATGCTTCTGCAAGGGAGAATGTGAATCTGAAGATGAGAAACGAAAAACAGATCTCTATTGCCTCACAGGATAGGTGCCTCCCTTTTTGTGAACTTATTTCCTCTTGTCGGAGGAAGACCCCGAAGTTTCTCCAAGTCGTAGGCCAATCAGAGGGTGCCTGCCGGATCGAAGTCTCCCTTCCCCAACTAAATGTCCCTTTCGGATGCACTGACGGCTGTGACGGGAAAACTTTAGTCCACTGTAATATGAACGATAAAAACTTATGGACGCAGGCACAGTGTATCCAAAGCACACTCAAAAGAATCACTGCATTCTGCGACCGAGCGCTTAGCACTCAAGCAATTCGTTTCTACCCATCTGGAAAAACCCAGCTTGACGGCTGTCAGAGATCTTAAGAAGTCAACTGTGGAAAAGGAAAGGAAAGGAAGGGATGCTGCTCGAGAGTTCGCAGGCTGGAATGGCCCCTCCTACTGGCAAAGGGCACAGTTTATAAAGGGAATAAAATAAAGAAAGTGGCGTGGAGGACACGGTATGTTCCCCTACATTCTACCACCTTCTGGCATATATAAGGAAAGCATTTGGGACAGGCCTACGCAGACAAGGCTGGGCCTGTTGGGTGCTTCCCCCCCACCAAAAGGCCGAGGTTACAAGTGACAGAAACACATTTAGCATTATTTCTAAGGACAATACCTTGAATTCTGTGCTCATGAGTTAATCCACTTGCATGGGAAAATTCAAGGAGCCACTGTTACAAAGCAAACAAGCCTCCCAACCCCCAGCATTTTGTATCCTACGGTGGGTGGACGTGGGATGCAAACGCATCTGAAGGCCAAGGTGGCAAAAATGTACTTCCTGCCCTGGGGGTCTCCCAGCATTTTGTATCCTACGGTGGGTGGATGTGGGATGCAAACGCATCTGAAGGTGGCCAAAATGTACTTCCTTCCCTGGGGGGGTCTTTTCAAGCGCTCTCTCTCTCTCTCTCTCTCTCTCTCTCTCTCTCACACTCACACACACACACACACACACACACACACACACACAGAGGTTGACGAGAGTATCTAAGTATCTCACACACACACACACACACACACACCAGGTGTCATAAACCCTGTCACAGCGACTGTCAATGTGAAATGCTGGTTGGCGAGAGTATCTAAGTATCTCGTTTTAAAACTAAGTATCTTCTCAACTGGATATTTAGTTTTAAAAAGGCTGCACTTCTGAACACATATTTGATTGTCCATCTTTACATGCAGATAAACATTTCTCTGTATCTATCATCTTTTCCACTTGCTTTGCAACAAATCAGAACCAGTATTTTTGTTGTTGTTTTTAAAGGTACAACAAACAAACAAACAAACCCCAGTTATTTAGAGCTGCATTAGGGTTACCTCCTTCCACTTTTGTTTGGCCTTTTCTAAAAGAGCATAAACGGTGCTTTTATAAGCTTTCTGCAGACAAAACGTCAATTTCTCTTTGAACGGGAGGCTGATTTGAACAGGACTCGGGGTGTTCCACTCGGTGGGCCAGGTTAGCTCGTCGCTTGCAAATCTGACCAACTCTCTGTGCACGTCGTCCAAGGTGAGTGCCACCTGAGCCAGAATCCTGTCCTCGTACTGGCCAATTTCGGCGTGGAACCGCTTGGCTTCCTGAAGCGCCCATTCCTGTTGCCTTCGACTCAGACACATCTTCAGCTCTGCTTCTTTTTGCTCAAGGAGGTCTTCCTTCTGCTTGGCAAACTCTTCTTTGGCCTTTGTTAGCACCTCGTTGATCTTATTTCTGTGCTCGTGTAGAAACAAATGGTAATCTTTTTCGTTTTGTTCCTGTATCCTCAGCATCTCTTCTTGCTTCTCCTTGTTCCACTGGGTCCTTGCTTTGGCCAGTTCTGCTTTAACGATGGCAGGGATTTCTTCTTTTTTAAGCTCCAGTTCCCTTTCCAGGGAAAAAGTTTTCTCTTCCAGCTCCTTGGTCCTTGCTCGAATCTTCTCGCTGTTCTCAATCTCCTTCTTCAATTTCTCTTCTGCAGCAGAAAGAGCCAGCGATACCTAAAGAACAGAAGACACATCAGCCTCTCAAGCAAGCCTCCAAAATCATCTTCCGGAGGTTCTAACCAGAGGCAGGAGGCAAACAGCTTGGGGAAGACCTCATCCTGCCTGCCAACTCGGCAATCAGAAGCACAGCCAGGTTTGCACAAGCCTGCCCTCTCAGGCAAGCCTTCCCTTCCAATCTTTTCCAATTTCAGCTGGTTGCTACCTTGTGTGGTGTAGTGGGCCAAGTGATGGACTAGGACTCAGGGGATCTGAGTTCAGATCCCGACTTGGCCATGGAAACTGACTGGGGAAGCGATACTAATAAAACCACTCCTTGAGGCCAACTGCACAGGCTCCTTAGCCCGCTGTTTGGAGCGCAAAAATTCCAGGCTGGTGTGCTCTCAACAGACGACGCCTTTGCTAGATAGAGTGCATTAGCCCATCCCCAGAACGTTCCTACCCAAAGCTTTTGTGGCCCCTGTTGAGGGGCGCCCACTTTTCTGGTGCAAGTAGGATCAGTCTGGTCTGGACCAGTTCCAGCCCACGTGATCACTGGCAGTGATCCAAAGCATGCTTCCCTCTTTCAATCTCCCCATATCCTGAGGTGGCTGAATAAAGTAAGCCACTTCAGGATACTGATCAGTTCCCCTGCTTGGCATCAATTGTCTACAACGCACTCAGTGATGCTCTAGCATCAATTCATCCCAAAAGAATAAAGCAGACAGAACGAACACCAGATGCGTTTTAAAAACAAGCTAGGTTGAGCAAGGAAAGAATAAGACAGCCATAGCTTAAATAATTATGTTATTACTGACTTAAATACCCATCTCCTTGGAAACAGAACGGTGGTTTTTAGAGGCTGAGCACACCGTTCAGACACTTGGATTTAATTCTGCACCGTTTCCAATTTGAACCTAATTTGGTGACATCTCAAATTGGCCCTGAAGTCTGGCCACCAGTCAGAAATGGGACAAGGCTCCGCTACCTGCTTTGCGGTGCCCGTTCCGGACTCCTCCGCCTCCCATTTCGCCTTGGCTGCCTTCAGGTGCGCTTTGAACTCCTCCAGCTCCGTCAATTCCTGCAGCCACCGGGCGCGAGCTTTGGTCAGAGAAGATTCCACCTGCGAGCAGCAAGAGGAGGCAAAACAGGACAACACGCTTAGACCAACACAGGCGCACGCATCGGGTTTCGGTCCGGTTTCAAGGAATACAAAGTGAAGGCCTTTTCATTTACGTCCTTCAGCAACAACTTTTGCCCGAGTACAACTTGCACGGCTTCAACCGCACTGAAATCCGTCAAATTTAAACAGGCTGGCTGCGCCCAGAACAGCACCCATCAGACATTAAAAATGAGGTAGCCGGCCCGTTGTGTGATAATTTAATAATATTTACAGTCACTGCAGACATTCACATTCATTCTGGATTTTTTTTACAAAGCTGTACTATTCAGACTTGTTTATTCATTAGTCCTTAGGTTTCACCGATTCAAGTGGAACGTGGCTAATTATGCCCCCTTATCAAGCCAATGTGCCTTCCCTACTAACTTAGATTTGTCTTGTGGCTGAACGGGTCATACTCGAGGCCAATTAAACAAGGCAAGAGGAAGTAGGAGGTATCTGCTTGCTACCTGGCTTGCAATACTCTCGTGATGTTTTGCTTCAAGCTCTCTTACGGCCTTTTCCTTTTCTGCCAGGGCCTCCTGAAACAGCTGCGTTTGCTCTTCAACGGCTTCCGCAATCAGCGGGCGTAGAAAATCATCTCTGAGGGATAAGGGCTCCGTTTGGCTGCCACTATCTTTGAGTTCCACAACCGCTCTCTTTGCAGCATCCAGCGCTTGATCCAGACGGCTCTGCCACTCTTTTTCAACTTCCTGAACAGCTCGGTCCTTGGTCTGCAGGAAATGGAGGGTTTTGATCTTTACCAGCACCGTAGAAAACGTCCGCATACGGATTCCTAAATTAACTAAACTGTCACATGTAAAAGATGGATTTTATGTGACTCTCTATGAACATCAGAATGACAACAGACTTAATTGGGGTTTTTTTTCTTTAAAAGCAGGACAAACGGTGGCCTTCTTCCCCATAGTTTCTTTTCCCACAGTGACATAATTAACACAATATTCTCTGACTTAAAGTGCTAAAGCAAAACTGCACAAGATCTTTGCACACAAAAACACACACACACACAATTGTGTACTGAAACAGTCTTATACCACCAACAGGTACAAAGTAAGATCTGTTTTACAAGAGATACATAGTTTTAAAAATCAGGAGCCAGTTCCTTCAAGACCAAATTAAATGAGAAGCCACTCACAGTTCTTCAGTGTGTTCAAAGCCCTCCTACGTGCATTAATAAACAAAACAAAATTCCATTCCATGCAAAAGCCTACCTCTTTCAGTTCCTTCTCCCAAAAGGCATTGACTTTTGCCACCTCGTTCTCCGTGTGCTGCTTCAGGTCTGCTTCTTTCTCTGCCTGCCACTGACTCTTGGCGAGCACCATGGAATTCTGGAACTCTTCCTCCAGTTCCGTCCTGAGCGTCTTCAAAGCCTCTTCCTTTTCCTTCAAGAACTGTTTCTGGAACTAGGCAAAATTGAGTAACACTGATGAGTAACAGCTGGACAAAACAGCCAGCCCTTTTGCGACAGTGTTCAGATGCCGGCAGACAACAGAGCATTACGGGTCAGACACCTCTTTCTGGGACGCCTTCCGTCCCTGCTGGTTGCCAATTGAGGGCAATCCTTCTGTCATGAGACCACCATACAATCCCACAGAGGACAACCGCCCAAGGAAGAGAGCGCCTTTTAAAGGGAAGAGTCTTTGAAATGTCCAGAGTTCAGTGGTGGTTTCGTTAACGTAACCCCTCTCTTTTTACTTTGTTACAAGATGCCTGTTCTGCCTCTCTTGGATCACCAACCTGAAAGGATGCCCAAAGAACACCCCAAAACTGGATTCCAAGCGAACACCATCTCATCCAAGTAAACTTATCCAAACACCACAGTGCTGATTTCCTAATCCCTAGGACACACCTGGACCTGCCTCTCCCTTCATCCTCTTTGGTGCAAACCTGAGTGTTTACCTACCACCAAAACGAAGAGCACGCGGGTGAACCTCCCTTGGCTTGCTTTTATCCCATGTGACTCCTCGACCTCTGTCACCCACCCGGCCCCTGTTTGTTCAGCCTGGCCATTAATCTCCTCTGCGGTCCATCCACCATGAAGGGCACAAAACTATATTTTTCTTATTACCTTCAAGGCACCCAGTAAAGGCATAAATAACAATGTCGCCCATATAAATCAGAATATGCAACCAGGTACAAAGAAACTCGTATCTTACGCTTCTGTTTCTGACGGAGAAGAGCATCTTCTCGTCCCATGTAGAGAGACTTGGTGTTGGGACTTAAAACATTTTGGTCCGGAATGAAACCAGAAGCAACAGGAAGCCAAAAACTGGCCACTCAATAGAGACTGATATAAAATTGTCCTAAGGGCCTATGTGAGGAGGAGCTATAGATGATGTCACAATTGTCTGCCCATAACATTTAGATCAAACAGAGAAAGGAGAGACTGGCAGACCCAGCACCAACCCTGAAGACTATCAAGTACAGCAGATAACTTAAACTGTAAAAAAAGAGAGAAAAGGTCAGACTTCTCCCTAGTTTACTTTTGTCTGACGTGCTTTTTAAAAAGTAGCATATAGCAGCAAATGCAAACAAAATAAAATCTTTTTTAAAGTTGGAAAAAAAGTTGGGAGTTATACTGAAGTCGTTCCCTCCAAAAGCTTACATTTTTCAATGAAATTATGAACAAAGAGGAGAGCCACCCTAATTTCTCTAACTGAATTGATCGGGACCTCCCCTTATCCCACCACATTTTTTTAAAAAAAGAGAGAGAGTTTTATATAGCTGTGGTTGGATCTTACCTCCTCCTCTTTCAGCCGCTGCTCTTGCTCCCAGGCGGCCTTCAGCCCGGCTTCCTGCTCGTCCCTCTCCCTGCAGACCGAGATGTAACATTCCTTCACCGTCAGCATCTCTTTGTTCAATTCATCGAGGTCAGCCCTCAAAAACACAAGAAAGTGTGTCGCTCAAGAAGCCGTTCATTTCGGAAAGGTGGCTCCGTGACCAGCGGTGCCTCTGTTTCAGGGACACCACCCGCCCACCCTCCACGTTTCCTACAGCTGGGCAAAAATAGCCGTACTTTAACTGGGTAATGTTCTCTTCGTAGGCACGGATGATTTTCTCTCTTTCTTTCGCATGCCTTTCCGCAAGCTCTCCGCAAAGCTTTTTCTTCACTTCTTCGTAATGTTGGTGGTAGGTTCTTTCACACCTGGGGGAGGTGGCGAAACAAGTGCAACAGATTCACTTCAGAAGGGAGGAGGGAGGGGGACACACCGTTTTATAAAAAAAGCTCAGGGCGTCTTCCGTATGCATGCAAAAGGGAACCAAATCCTTCATACTGTAGGACAGTGGTATCTGCGGGAGATCCGTTCCAAGCCCCAGCGACGGATGCCAAAAAACACGGAAAGAGCAAATGATTTACTTTGCGTGGTCTCTGGCTTCTTCTAGTGGCCAGTTCTGGTTCTAAATACACCCTGGAAACATCTATACATACATATTTTGGGGTGGGGTGGGGTTGTTTAGTATTCTTAGCCAGCGGGTAAGTGAATCAGCAGATACTGATCCCACAGATGGGGAAGGAGAGGTGTTCCACTGACATCCCATCCACACTACAGAGATCATCAAATATCAAATCATTTTTTGCCATTGTAAGTATATACATAGTATACACATATAACAAAATTCACACAGACACCCAGAGACCAGACCCACATGCACACACATAAAAAATCCCTAAACACTCCCCACCCAATAAATCCCAACTAAGAATACAAGCATCTACACCGCAGGCTAAGTAACACTGTCCAACTATTCACTACTGGTGTTCTTTAAGCTCATTATTAAGTGCAACTATAGCTCTGGGGTAAAAACTATTCAGAAAACGTATGGTCCGAGTCTTGTTCTATGTCTTCCATATCTGTTGTTCCCCTCCAAGAAAGGGCAACAGACTGGCCGACAATCCACGAACATTTGACAAGAGAGCCATTTTTCTCTTGCAGCAAAGAAACCTTTCAACAGGGGCAGGCACAGAGGACTCAACAGCCAGAGCGCAAACGCAGGAGGACAGGACCATTCCCTCCGAAGAAACCAGAGTGCCACTGGGGTGGTGGGCAGTGGGGGGAGGATACCTCTGTTGCCATCATGCCCACCCAACCAGCGAGGGAACTGACAGGAATGGGAAAGTCAACTGAATGTTCAGCTTCCCTTCCTCCCAAGTCACCTGTCGAGAGCTTCTTGCTTATCCCGGTCAGAGTCCTGCACCATCTGCCTCATTTGGCTACACAGCTCTTGGTTTGCATGCTTCAGTTGTTCCTGGCTTTCTGTTAGTTCCTGAATACGCACTTTGTGACTCTAATCAAAGAAAAAGCAAAGGGAAAATAAGGGTCAAAACTATTAATCCGCTCTACCTTTAAGGTGACCCTACATATCATGGGCAACACCATCAGAAATGGCTAGAGGTGGGAATGTCTAGGAAGAGCCAGTGGGGAAAAAGTCAGAACGCTCTCATTTCCTCAGTCCCAGCAGCTCCCCAACTTTTCCAATAAGAAAAAAAAAATGGACATTTTGATAAAACCCTTCCATTGAAATGGTTCCTCTGTTAGAATGAATGAAGCACCTTTTAAGACAAGGTTTAATTCATTTTACTTGCAAAGTTTGAAGATTTTTTTCACACAGACAGTCTACAGCCCAAGACAATGATACAAGGTTTAATTCATTTTACTTGCAAAGTATGAAGATTTTTTTCACACAGTCTACAGCCCAAGACAATGACAATCCCTGTGAAGGTAGGCACCGAGGACATTCAATTTTAAAAACATTTATGTAACTAGACACCGTTTTCCCAGAGGTTTTGTTTTCTTGTGAACTGCTGCCTTGCTTCGGGTGATGCTTGATCTCGTCTGGAGAGACTAGCGGCAAGTTTCGTTCCATGCAAGGATAAGTTTCCTTAGGTAGAACTATGGCCAGATTGCTCTGGAGCAAACGTACGGCGTTGCACCGGAAGAAAAGTCATCTTCAGACCTGCCGTTGTACAAATGCCGACACGCAGTCTCACTTGCAAGAATTCAGAATGTGTAAGGCTTCTGCCTCTTTAAACACTACCTCACATCCTCTTCTCTCACACCATCTATTGTGACACACCGCACCCCAAATGCTGCCCTGGCAGCTGGTCATCATGTCTGGGATGCCACGTACCATGGAACGAGATCACAGGACCAGGATTCCCACCTTTTCTTCCCCACTCCTTCCTAAATTCTACAGAGCAACGCCATTTCTCAGTGGGCTCCACATCGAGCGGTAGCATCCTCAGCCTTGGATGGAAAGAAAGCAGAGAGGTTGCAAGCTTACCTTAATGTCTTGCTGCAAAGTCTCATTTTCCTTCTTGAGCCTTAAGATTTCTTCAGAGGTGCCGGACTGGACCGCATCAGACGGAACCTCCACATTTTTTCCTTTGAGCTAATAAGGGAGATAAATAGCACATTCAAACAACTACGGTTAGCACTACAAAACAGACGCGCACTACACATCTCACAAAATGACAACTATCCACACCTAGAGACTTACAGTATGACGAGCACTATGGACACTGACTCTCCCACCCACCCCGAAAAAAATGACGGGAGGAGCTCATGGTCCTTACTTTCGAGTTTGCTCACCCAGCACATGGAGCACTCCTCCTGTGAAGCAGCTGCCAAAGGAAAAAAGACTTGATGCAGCCACTTGTGGACCAACCACACATATGCCACTTCCACGGGACCAAAGCCACTCCTAAGCGCATGCCATGGTTCAGAAATGAAGCACAAGACTTTCCAGAAGCTAATACAGGAAGTTACCCTTTTCCAATCAATCCAAACAGAGATAAAGAATGAAATCCGGGCAAGCGACAAATGTGTGTTTGTCACAATGAACTCAACCATTCCATCTTCCAAAAGAAAAAGAAAAAAATCCTTGGGATATCAAACCTCCATCCTGAAGTCATAGGGATTTGCTTCTAAACCGAGAGAGACAGGATTGCATTCTCTCTCTCTCTCTCTCTCTGTGTGTGTATGTGTGTGTGGTTAGCTGAATGGTGCATGTCCCAATATGAAGTGGAACAAAACCCGTTTGTGAGAGACAGTGAAAATCAGACAAACGATTCTGGCTGTGTTAGTCAGAATGGATACACTACGACGCCATCTATTTCAGAAAGGCGTGAACTCTTGGCCTCCAAGGGAGACTTCGGGAGGAAGTCCATCACTGCATATTGCTCCAGGGAAACATAATCTAAGTCTAAGAGGACACTTCCATTTCTATATTTACTGAGCATAGTAACGTGGCTTGTTTAAGCTTTAAAGATAAGTCTTTGTTTATAAATAAACCATGGAAAGGTACAAGGAAACATATGCACATTTCTAAACATGCAAAACAAACAAACCCACCTCCTTCGCACTCATTTTCACTAGCTGCTGCTTCAGCTCTTCTATTGTTTGACGGCAGTCTTCAAGGTCACTTTGTAACTGAGAAACCCGGTTCCTCTTTGCTTTGTTATTGCTCAGTAAACGCTTCATTTCATTCTTCAAGTCCAAGATGATCTCGTCTCTGGAAAGCCCTCTGTCTTGCTCTTTATTCGTCACAGAACTATTCAGGGTTTCAAGAAGTGAGAATCAGAGTTAGCTTTGCAGTAACACATAAACACTAGAATGCTTTGAAGCTTTCAACCTAGCTTGGTATTATTTTATTTACTAAGACAGTGACCTTAAGCTCCATTAATTTGGTGAGATGTTGATCTCAAATACGAAGTGTTCCTTGTGGGTCTAGGATGAAACATACAGTTTTATCTTGATGTATTTACGCTATAGGTTTATGAAGGTGTGGTAGCAACAGAATGATAAGAGTACTGGCTCACTCTAGCCCTTCAACTCGATGACTCTCAACAATTGTCCATAAAGCAGCGTAAAACAGACACTAAGGCAGTAGGCTAGTCAAGTCAAAGGAAAAATGGTGAGTTCACAAATTAAGTCATCACACGAGTCCATTTAATTCCAGCTTTGTACAGTTGAGTGGCGATTTACACCTTAAGTGCCCACATAACCTGTTTCAGCACTTTCATTCCAAACAGGTCAGCAAGGAAGAGCCACAGCTCTGCTGCGGACTTATCATCAAACGGGTGTTTAACGCCGCCCGCCTGGTTTCCATGAAGCCAATGATTTAAGTACGACTCTGGCTTGAAATAGCCTCCACCGTCTATGCAACGTATCTGGAATTTCTTCTGCTCTCTTCGAACTGTAACATTCTCATTGTTGTTTTCGTATATTTTGAAATGCTACTGCATACCACTTAGGGCTTTTCTAAAAAGTGGATTAAAAAACCTTTTAAAAAACCCCACAAAGCAATATCTGATCTTCATTTTCTTTAATACCACCAAGGCACTTCAGGTTGTATGGTGGGCTGCCTCAAGTTGTATGCTTGAGACCCACTTATAGTCTTTATAACGCATTATATTGAAAGTTCAACTGAAAAGAAATTGAAGATTTTACACTGTTTTCAAATGTGTGCAGTCTTATTAGGGAAAGCACCACAAATCTATCCCTTTCATGAAGGAAACACAACTACTTTAGTAGGACTTTAGCAAGACTACCTTCCTATACCTGTGTAGTCCTGTTTTCTTGTTGACCTTTTTAATGCCTAAATCCACATACGAATCAGTCATTTCTACATTCAGTTCTCCTCCTGGGTCATTGAGAAACACCCCATGTGTTTCAGCAGACTCATACAGAGCAATTTCTTCTTTGAGCTCCTTCAGTTCCTCCTAAAAATATACAAAATAAAAATGGAGACAAAGAAATAAATCTAGATCAGGCTGAGAATAACACAACAAATATTCTGTGAATGCAAGTACACTGTACTTAAATTGCAGCTTTTCAAGATGATTTCTGAAATTACAAAGTAGAAGCCTCTTACACACTCAGAGTGTTTATTATCTTCCCCATCCCTCTCACACTGACCATCAGCAGGATTTTTGGTCCAAAGTTCTCCAGTAGGCTACATACTTGTTCCACTGTGGAAATGATGGAGCACCAGGCATTACTACATCTGCGACTCTTTCTTAACTATGCACAGATTTTCTCTTAAGGAAAAAAACCTGCTCGGGTTGCTTCTGGTTCATACAGTCTATCATGTCTAGACAATATTGACATACACACCCTAACTCCCTTATGACTACATCTGTCTGCTAAGGTGGACTCTGCGGTGCAAGGACCTGACACCACATTAAATCTCTTAAATTTTAAGGTACTAAGAAGTCTCATTATTGCAACTAAATACAGCTACCCATCAGGAAGTCTCCAGAGAGTGAGTATATGGCCGAAGTAAAAAGAAGTGCCTTGCAGTGGTACCTGTTCTCTGCTGGAGGCACTTCCTCCTCTGAAATTCTCCTGCCACTTTTATATTGGCCCAAGAAGGCTGAACTTTTGAAATCCTCCAACAGAAAGATAGACCAACCTGCAAAGCTTTATTCATTTCACTGCTTAGTAACTGGGCAGACTGGGCTTGCTGAAGCTGCATGCGCAGCTGGTTTGTCTCATTGACCAAGCCTGTAGGGAGAGAATTGGAAATAACTTTGGGACATAAAAGAATTAATTCCCGAGAAATGAATAGATTAAGTTACTTTGGCATTATAAAGCTAGATTTTTTTTCAATGCTAGATTTTATATGCCGCCCAGAGTAGATCTTTGGTCTAGATGGGCAGGGTAGAAATTCAATAAAATAAATAAATAGATTTGTCTATTAAAGATGCCTAAAAGACGATATAAACATTGTGACTATATGCTAAATGGAAGACATTTGAGTTTTTAGTTTAAGAGAACAACTTTTTTAGTACTTCAGTTTGTGATAGATTTTCCCCCTGTAGAGTTATTGCTTATACCTTAAAATAAAAGCAACAGTGGGTAAACAAGACAGGAGAAATGTCTGCCTTTCTTTAGCACCTCCCCAGCTAAAGGAAACTGAAAATATGCCAGGATAGGCTAGGCTTACGTGGTAAGAACTGGGTGGGTGAGGCTAACATGTTAAATGGGTTAAAAAGAAATGATTCAAACAGTAAAAAAAAAAGAGCTAAAATGAAAAACACAATGCCTTCAGATACAGTTGCCTATTTAATATTTCTCAGAGAGGCAGTTCAAGAATTAATATTCTTCAGTCTCAGTTTTGCCCAGCCATATATGGTGCTTAAAGCATTGCCTGTCACACTTCTTGTCATTTATTTTATTGTGTCAGAAAGGTTTCCTCCACTGCAAATTTCCTTTCTCACAGGAGCCTTCTCTTTATTTATGAAGGACATTAGGCTTCTAGTCCAACTACCTCTTCCGTTTGCCAACCTACCCAAAAAGTGACATAAAATCTTTTGCACGAGGCGCCCATTATCCAGGATAACACCAGGTTATGCACACTGCAACCGCCTTCCTCACAGACAGCCGTTCTCACGCTGATTTGCTGGCCAAGAAATACCTGCACCGGTGTCTTGTCCATGCAGGCCTCCCCCTCCCCCCAACATGCCTCACGCCTCCTCCACCACTTCACGCGAATGCTCCTGCCCACATTTAAAGAGTCCCAGGCTTTTTGCCGAAGGAGGCCAACCTGTTTGCAGCAGGCTGGCACACTGGTTTTGGCTTTCTTCGAGGCTTCTCGAGAGGCGACCGATCATCTCGTTTTTTTCCACTCTGCTTTCTTCAAGAGTTCTTTCCAGTTGTTTCACATGCTCAGTTAGACGGCAACATAGTTCTGACTGATAAAACATGCAGCACTAACTTACACACTGGTTTTAGAAAATAGAGCTTACATGATCATCTCTTAAACATTAATATCACAATTCATTTTTATTACTACTTAAGTTTAATGTTGCCGTTGCTGTTAGATACATCTCACTTTTTCCTACTTATGTAGGAGCTACCAGGTTTTTTTTTTAAAGCAAAACAAAAGAACAAAACACAAAGGCTTTGGGGCAGTTCAGACGTGCCAACAGCACGTAAGTCTCTTCTCTAACACACATGAGCCTCACACCAACCCTGCGAGGCAGGCCAGTCTGAAAGACAGTGACTGGTCTGAGAGTCCTGGTTCTCCAAACCACAGTCTATCACACCCTACTTGCAATCTATAATATAGTTACAGTAGATTTCAAATAGTGGGGAGGAAAAACAGACAAGGAAAAAGTGATGGGGAACGGCTCCAGAGAAGAGCTCTGGCTGAAGGAGTCACTGCTACTGTTTTCATGGGCTAATTAGCCACTGCCCCCCCCAAAAAAAAACATGCACAGCTGCTCCAAATCCTACATAACCTCAAACATTTGCTGCAAGAAGAGATGGTTTTCACTGGCCAAGAATCTGTTCTGTATTTTAAAAAATAATTATAAGCACTATAAAATGTTCTTTAAAAGAACTGTCCCTGGAAGTCAACAATGTGAAGGCTTTAGAGGTTTAGCTCCATTTGCTTTAGTTTAAAATAAAAACAGTGATAATGCAAACCATTTTCCCCCAGCACTTGCTAAATATGACAGCTCTGTGACTAGACAGGTCCTGCGCATTTTGAAGCTCCGTGACCTATCCAAAGAGAGAGCATGAGGACTAAGCAGCTGATCAGATGGGGAAATCAAAATTTCACCAGAGTCCTATGCCTTACGGAACCACCTCCCTGCCCTAGGTCAGAATCTGACCTGCTCTTGGAGTGCCATGTGGGTCGCATCCAGCTTCTGCTGCAAAGATGAAGCCTGCTCTTCGTATCTCTGCTTGAGGGCGGCCACCACAGCCTCGTGCTGCTCCCGTGCGCGCTGAAGGGCATCCGACCTCCGAAGTTCCAGGAGCTGCTGCTGCAAGCTTTCCATGGCAACCTCCGCCACTTTCGACTGTTTGATCAGCTAACAAAAATTTTCAAATATATATATATTTTTTGAAGAACACTTCAGTTTTTGCCTTAGCTCATAAAAAAAAAACCTCAACCGAAATGGTCCATTCCCAGAACAACTTGATGACCCACTCTCTGGAATCTGAGCACTTCCACCTGTCTTATACGTGACAGCTACCAGAAAGGTCTAACGCACACATCACATCTTCAAAGTTTTATGCTGGAAAGAGTTTAGGATTCAGACGTCAACTAAAAGAGTAACGTTACCTGCTCTTCATTGGCAGTCAGGGTCTGAATTTGGGTTTCAAGCACTTTTATTTGGCTTTCAAGCTGAAGCTCCTTCTCCTTGCCGTTTTGATACAGCTTCTGACTTTCCTGCAGGCTAAGACACATGCCGTCCTTTTCATCTTTAAAACAGAAAGATATATTTAAATCACTGCATTCTTTTTTTAAAAAAAGCAGCTACAGACTTTTTTTTTGGTTGAGGCAGAAGAAGTAGATCTGTCCAATGTGTTGGTTTTATACACTGTTCGCCAAGCTCCAGAATTTTACCGTATTGGATGAAAACAGAAACAGAATGTGCTTTCATGGAGGAGAACCCACTCCCTCCCGTACAGAGCATCTTCTTGAGGATGCCAGTTAAGACACAGTGTACGCCGGACTGGTATCCTTAGAATGCAGCTCTCAGAAATAAATAGCTAATGCTTTACAGCTTTTTGGCAGTGAAAGGGAGACAGAGAACACACCTCCTGAGGAATATTAACCTCATGCTCATCCATGTTTAAAGTAAACCCGAGGCCCATAAATCTGTGAAATAGAATGAACTCCCTCTCACCTGCACAACAAGAATACTACAGTTATCCTGACCAGCAGGGGGAGAGCAAACACACAACTTCTCTCTGGGCCACACTCTTAAACTTCAGATCCAGACTAGAGCACTTTTAAACAAGGAGTGTCAGGATATTGCAGGCAATGAAAGGAAAAAGAGCCTGTAGCTGGGTGTCTCTTTGGCTCTTTACAACAGGCAGCCGTCCACTCCTTTTTATTTGTTTCCCTTGCTAGACTCCTTCCGTGGCAAAGTGCACTGTGGTCTTTAACCCAAAAACAAGTGGCAGGACAACGGCAAATTGGGTTTGTTCAGTAAACACTCCTGCACACACAGAGAAAGCCTACACCGAACTCCCCGGAGAGCCATACCCAGAGGAATAGCAGATGCCAAGATGACCCGAGAACTCAGCCCCGGGTGACCGTTTTAGGACATTAATGAAGGGTGTGGGGGAACATCTCCTGTCCACCCTCCGCCCTCCCTCCACCAGAGAGAGATTTACCTTTCAGAATTGCAAGCTGGTGAGACAGATACCTAATCTGCTGGGCTTTCTCTTCCAGCTGCAGATTAAGCTCTTCCAGTTTCCTTCCTTTTGCTTTATTAAGCACTTGAAGCTGCAGGATCTGCATGTTCTCTGAAGAACCTGTCAATTCAGATTATAGCTTTCCAATGTCATCTACTAAAATACATGCATGCTTTCTCAACGGTCTAATAGGACTTCTGAGGGCCAGACTTCCTTCTCGTTAGAAGCACTCGGCTTTCTGCTACATATTTTATCCTCCGACACAGCTTTCGCTTTCCTTTTAAGTTTCCGGTTTTTCATTTATTAAATGGAACTGGGGCGAGGAAACCATTTCACTGCCAACGTTGGGAATTCTACTTCCAGAGGACACAGAAATCTTTGCCCACAGGTAAACAATTATGCAAGGAAACAAAATTAGGCTAGGAATCACACCCAATTATCCCACTAGCTCTCTGGAGAAATCCCTTCTCCCATTTTGACCCAGGTTCAGAAAAATATCACCACACAGCCACAGAATAGAAAATAAGTTCTTAGAAGTCCTGACGATCACTCACTCTCACCAGTGGCCAGAAATTCTTGCTGCATCTCTTCAAATGCTTCGTTTCTTCTTCCAGCATCTGGAGAAAGAGTGACTGGCTGCTGGATGTTATTCTGATATGGCTTATATATGACTTTGTAAGCCTCCACAGGCTGATTATCAGTTGTTTCTGAAGCGCCAAACTGCAACTGAAACATAAACACATTAAGACTTAGCTTTTTTTAAAAAAATAGAGCTGCTTCCTATATATCTCCCAGAGTTCCAGTGCACTGGCACGTATTAAAAAAAGAAGCCCCTAGAAAGCTCACTTTCCACTCTAAGGAACTTCACCAAATCCCCACCCCTTCCTCCTCGTCATAGGCAGGCACTTTAAAGGAAAGAGGGAGATGCACTGCTGGAGAGCATGCTCCCCTACCATTTTGGGCATGTGCCCAAGAGAGCGCACACATGCACCTGAGAGCACGTACACTGGGTGCCCCACCTTCTTCAGAGGCTCAGCCAGTCTGCAGTCCTAAAAAGGTTGGGGACCGCTGCTTTAAAGGACAACAGGCAACTGCTAAATAGGTTTGCCCCTCCCGTAGGTGGCACATGTTTTGAACTGCAAGGGCAGGATTCGAAGAGACCCAAAACCTTTACTGGAAAACAACTATTAAGAAATAAGACCTACGGATCGCAACGGGGAATCCTTGTGAACAGGCCTTGCACCCGACCTTCACTATTTCTGGTGTCACCTGCGCCTCCCCCCGAAAAAAATAGCCATGAAAAAGCCTGATCCAAAGTGGCCGGCTGACAGTTCATTCTTTTTTGGAACACCAGCTGCCGTTGCCACACAAGGAGGGAAATAAATAGCTGGACACCACGGAAGAGAACCGTTTCATGCCATGTACCTTCACGTGTTCCTTCTTCGTCTCAGCCGTGTTCATTCTTTTGCCATGCTGGTTACTGAATTCTTCTTGGTGGCCATTTGTGTAAGGTCTGAAGTCTTCTGGAAGATGATACGCATTGGTTTGTTGGTAGCGGCCGGGCACTTTACACCCAGTTCCTCCGAGATACACATCGTTGGAGTCCTCTTCGTTGGCCCCACCGGATATCTCAAACATGCTTCTATCTTCACCTTCATTAGGATGGTCAGGCCAGTCACTGGCGTGCATCTCCCCTTGGAGGTTTCCTTGATCGTAAAGGTAACGTTCCATGTACATATCCTGACCTTGTTCATAATCCTGCCAAGGGTTAAAGTTAACGTCACCGAGCGTTATACGCAACACAGGGGGCCAGTTGAAATAACATTTGTTTGACTGGAATTAATAAATGATTTCTAAGACACCACGCATGAGAAGGTGATGGGAAAAGGGGTCAGGACAGCAGCGGACAGAGGGCAGGGACATAAATAGCGAGCTGCTCGCTCTGAGCGCTGCGGACAGGCATCGACGCAGAAAGGCCATGCCAGGACCACAGGGTCGCAAGTTCTTGCAGAATTCACAGATCTCAATTTACAAGGTAACTTTCCAAACATGGCCACTTGGAAGCTGTAAACAGCAATCCAAAGTTTCATTTTGCTTTTTTAATAAACCAACCCCACCCCCCCAAAAAAGGGAGGGAGGGAGGATTTATTAGTCTACCTTGCAAGCCCGTCCGAAATAGCCAGGCCAAATATTAACAAGCCATTCCAGTCTACCTGTGTAGCCTGAGAACTTACACTTTGTGGATTTGCTGCAAGTGGGTGGCCATCCCATCGAGGGGCCTCCTGATCCCAGGGTTCACGTGCTCTACTCAGAAAGCAGACAGGAGGTTAGGAATCACGTTAATATTTGCGATGCAACTGTGATGTATATACTGCATGTCATTATAAGGATTTTTTTAAAATAAAAAGGACTAACTTCTATTTCATGGATGACAGTAAGCAATACAGTTGTTGTAGATTTTAGATACTGCAGGAAAGAAACTAAAAAAGCTCAAGCGACTTACTGTTCATGGTCATCAGGTGTGCTATAGTCAGAGAGATGATCTCCGCTGTCCTCCAGCATATCATGGGGAAGGCCGGTCAGCAGCTGCTGCAGCTGAAAGACAACATATTACAGCTATGTTAATGAGGAACACCCCTCTATCCGCCAGTACCTAGACTTCTCTGCAGACGAGAAGCCTGTGCCAAGAGAGGTTCAAGGCAGGCTAGACTGCTTGACAAACCCCTGCCAAGGCCAGAGGGCTACCCCAACAGTTTAAAGATGCTTGAATCCCCTTTTGCGCCATGCACATTTCTGCCAAAAAGTAAAGAGCATTCTCCTCACAGATCCTGCAGGTGCAAGAGAAGGAAAGGGAGTCATGACACGGCCATGTCCGTTTCACTGCTGCGCAGGGGACACTCCCTATGCCTCTGAAGGGCAGGTTTTGGCCCAGCTGGCAAAACCAGAAAGATCAGCGCCAAGCACCACATCAGCAATCTCTCTTGAGCCAGAAGGTTGCGCTTTTCAGGCCATCTCCTCTACTTATCAAGTTCATTCTTGAAAATAAGGATGACTGGCCGGTCACCCAACATGAGATCTCCGCTCCCTTCGTCTACCAGACGTTCCCCTTGTGCCCAGTTCCAAAACACAGGGTTGCAGCCACGCCTTTTCACTTAGACGCACACACTCTCTATTCCCCTCCTCAAGTCCTACAAGGCAAGAAAAATCTTCATGGGCAAAGGCTATTCATTCTGCTCTCTATTAATGGGGAAATGTTGCAAACATTATATTGATCATGCTACGACACTGGCCTACAGAGGCGTTTGCGGTAATTTGGGATGAGAGGCAGTCATCCTAATTCTCTTTCAAAACCAGAAAAGATGCCAACAACATGACATTTGCTACGCCCACCAAAATCACATAGCGAAGGAAAGATGCGTTTGTTTAAGCTGGTGTCTTTTTCAAAGCAAGGCAGCAGGATGGATATATTGTGTGAATTCCCGCAGGACCAAATGCTTTTTGGGAAAGATAGCACACCTTTTGACATCTCTCTGAACACCAGCTCACCCCAGTCTTTAATAGTTCAGCGACAATCCCTTTCTACAGCAGTTGCTGTTCAGCAGCTACATTTTTTTAAAAAAAAGAAAGCCTTGTTTACTTACTTGGAGCAAGGAAGCCTGTATAGAGTGTACCTGTTCTTCCAAACCTTCAGTGAGGTTCTGGTACACAGAATGGATTCCAACTGACACATCTGTGCAGTACATTTTCTTTTTCTCAGAAGGTTACTAGAAAACTACACATAGCAACATGAGCAGTTATTGCATCTGGGCTTGGCACTCAAACTTTCTTTTCCATACTAACAAAGCCATGCATATTTTGCTAATTGGAGCAGAAACAATAGCTTCCAAATAGAAAGACGGACAAATAGCAGGAAAACACTATCTCATTTAGAACACAGCTATTACTGTATCACCGAAAAAGGTGAACGGTACCCATAAAGCTGGTCCAAACCACCAGCAAAACTACACTTCTGCTTTTTTGGCAAAGCAGTTAAGAACATCTTGGAATTCTAAATTAAAACTGATACAGCAAAGTATAATTAAAGGCTGCCCTCTTAAAAGTTCTTGGAGAGCTCAAACTCTACAGACAACACATCATCAACTCCTTTTTATGGTTAGCATTCCGAACAAGCTAGGAAACTGTCAACATTCTGCAGAACAAATAAAAAGTGAAACTAGCAACCTCAAATTCTTCTTTGCATACCAGAATAAATCTGACCTTACAAAAAGTACATAGTGAAGTGCTGGTCAGAAGATCAGACAATCTCTCTTCACTCTGGAAAGGAGCGCCCACATTCCCATATACTGCAGACAAGAAGCATAATCCAGACTCCTGCCACAACGGCTGACTCCCAACAAAGACAGAAGCCTTAGACACAACAAATGACATAGGCACTTTATTTTAAGGTGTATTTTTTGTAAGAAAGCAGCTACATGAGTAAGAAGCTGCTTGGGTGACGTCATGGGAGACTCAGGAGATTATGATGTCATCAGAAATCTTTCTTCCCAACACCAAGGCATTAGGCTTTAAAAAGAAGGAGCTAGAGATTACTCTTGAAAGAAATGATGACCAAATTCTCCAAATTGGGACAGCGTAATTAAGACAGGGAAAGCATTCAGAGTCTGTTAACAGTACTGAAGGTGCAGCAACAAGATGGAATAAAAGATTAGACCACCAAATGGAGCGAAATTAAAGATTCACTGAAAATAAACAATAACCAAACCCCACAAAGACTGAAGAAGCTGGGCTTAAAAATAATAACCGCCCAGAAGTTCCTGGACTGTTACAACATCACACAGACGAGTTGCCTGCTCCTTTACGCAGTCTGCGCCTAACAAGAAACAGCAGATTCAAAAAGGGTGTGCTTATGCTATAAACATAAGGCTACACTGGCCACATTTAAGTCACAAGCTTCCAGCTCAAGATTCATTTCCAATGTGGTTCTCAGCATTTGAACAAGCCACCGTTCCCATTGCACGAGAAATCTGGAGTGGGGGGAGATTAAGACCCTGAGATATGGTCACATCTTAATGTTTACCTCTTGCTCCCTGGCATAATCCTCCTGATCATATTCTTCATCTTCCTGGTGCATTTGTAAAGCGGCACTGTCAAAGTCGAGTGACATTTTCGCCAAGGTGTCTTGCTCCAGTCAGGTGAAAATATCATTTGCAATTAATCCTTTGCTGGTTCAGATCTTTGCTAGAAAAGAAAAAGTGATAGATTGAAAGGCTGCATTTTATGGTTCAGATCTTTGCTAGAAAAGAAAAAGATTGAAAGGCTGCATTTTATTGCCTTGAATGTGCTTTTGGGGGATTGTTGTATCTTATTGCCTTGAATGTGCTTTTGTGTTGCTTAGGTTTTTAGTGTATAGGATTTGTTTGATCTTTTTTACTATTTGTATATTCCCTGTTTTTAGCTTTCAACACTGTCTTTTAATGATGTATTGTAAAAGGATACTGTCAATAAATACTGTAACATTTCAGTCAATAAAGTACCCTTTCTTGTTCCTGAAATTGACTTTATGCTTCGCTCTTGACTTCACAGGACTTTCAAAAGCCATGTCTGGTTGTCAGACTCTGCTCTACACACATTGGTTCAGGCATATGAATTCTGGGATGGCCAGCTAATCTTGATCATTAGGTCTTTCAAAATGACTGATGTCTCCATATTTATCATGTATTCCAGGGGTGGGCCATTTGTCTCCCACCCAATGCTGCTGGACTACAACCCCCATCACCTCTCACCACCCGCCGGGCTGGACTTGATCATTAGGTCTTTCAAAATGACTGATGTCTCCATCTTTATCATGTATTCCAGGGGCGGGCCATTTGTCTCCCACCCAATGCTGCCGGACTACAACCCCCATCACCTCTCGCCGGGCTGGCTGCAGATGACAGGAGTTGCAGTTCAGCGACATCTTCCCACACACTCACCCTCCCCACAATTCAGCAGCTAATTCTCTACCTGCAGAGCAGGCAGACCTAACCTTTACCCCAGAGGAGACGGGAGGGGAAGCTTGTTCTCCATTTCATGCCCCACGACTGTTTTCGGAAGCCCCTGCGGACCAAACGAGACAGACCTTCTCAAAGACGAGACTCACTGCTCTTGCTGCACAACCAGGCGGTACCATAAACTAGAGATTTCCACGGGGGCTGGACTGCAACTGGTGTCATTCCTAGACAGCTGAGTGGGTGGTGAGACATGATGGGGGTTGTAGTCCAGCAACATTTTAGACCTGTTCCCCCCCCCTAAAATGGCCAGGTGTGTGTGTGTGTTTTTTTTGGGTCATAGCAACCAACATGAACCTGACACAACTCCGGGAGGCAGTAGAAGACAGGAGGGCCTGGCGTGCTCTGGTCCATGGGGTCACGAAGAGTCGGACACGACTAAACGACTAAACACACACACACCATCCAGTTGGCAGCCCCAGGGGCCGAGGGGTTCCGGAACTCTCCAGCTCAGCAGGCCCTTGCCTGGGGGATGATGGTGATGGAGGAGGGTCTCCGAGGAAGGCTAACGAACGGAACCTGTTTAGACCTTTTCAGGTCATGAAGAGGGGCTAGTCCTCAACGAGGAGCGCCTGTTCCGAAAGGCGCTGCGCTGGCCTTTTGACCCTGAGGGAGGGGACTATTTGTTTCCCACCAAGGAGGACCGGGGTGTGTGTGTGTGAAGTGTGTGTGCGTGTGAGAAGCAGACCCACAACCAACTTAGGCCCGAGGCCCCCGGTTTCCATGGCAACACCTAACCGCCCCCCCCAAACCCCTCAGGCCTTTCCGCCGCCACCCCCGTTTTCCTCACAAACGGACACGGGCTTCCTCCTCGGGCTTCCTTCTCACCTTCTTGGCCGCCGCTTCGAATCCCACTCCGGATTAAACGCCCCCACCCTTTTTTTCGCCTCCGCTTTCTCGCTGCCGTGTCACAACTTACCCTGTTTTCCTTCCAGGAGGCGTGGTTTCGGACGACGAAGAACCTCGGCCAATCACCGAAGATTATTTTTTTAATGGGCGTGAGTTTGAGGCCACTAAGTGGGCGGACTCCCGCGGAGGGGCGGGGCGTCCTGAATCTCATGGTTTTCTATTTCAAGTTCGGTTGCGCCGTGCCTTCTTTCCCCCGGTTTAAACGCTGGCGCGGAGTGAGGCGGGAAGGGAAATCTGCTCCGGGATTGGCTGGATATTTTAACCAATCGGGTGAGCGGCGGGGGAGAAACCTGAACAGATGTGCTGAAGGGAATCCTGGGAACTGTAGTCCAATAACTCAGATGTGCCTCTCTCCAGCTCAGAGTGGTTTATTTGAACATGGGGACTAGGGGTAGATTTTTTTGGGGGGTTGTATGGTTTTTCATTTTTTTTAAAAAAAAAGTCTAGACATATTCCTAATCATCTATAGATTGGTTTATTTTTTAATTGTAGGGAACTTTTTAAAATCGTAGAAGTGTGGATTTGTTTGGGACCCCAGAGGTCATCAAGTCCAGCCCTCTCCCAATGGAGAAGAATTACAACGGAAGCATCCCCAACAGCTGGCCATCCAATCCCAGTGGGAGAAGCGTCCTCGCCCTTTGAAGGGGCGGCTGGCCGATGGTACGCAGTGCTTGGCAGGATGGATGGGCTTGGACCGTCCCTGACATTTGGGGAGGGGGCTTCAGCTTCCCCGAGGACTGGTGCCGAGCCTTCCCACACCCTGGCAGCCACCTAGCTCTATGACTGGGGTTCCCCCATACAAGCGCGCTCTTCTCTGCGAGTGACCCTCCATTGTATTCCTGACAGCTTCCTTGCCCGGATCACACAACTGGCAGGCCATTTTGGCTGCTCTGGACACTCAAGTGCCTGTCATGAGCTTTGCCGTTTTCCAGCACAGGCCTTGCAAAGGGGAATGAATGGCTGGACCTAGAAGGAGCCGGACCGCACAGGACAAGAATTCGTCTTTCGCCCATGAAAGGTTGAAGGCCAAGGCAAGGCTGGACAGCTGGGACATGGGAGGAAGCCCGCCCTCACTGCGTCCAGAAGAAGACAGAATTTAGGCCGCCGATCGCCTGCAGGCCCTCCTAAGACAACTACCTTCGCGCACGCCCAGTTTCAACGTGGAGCCACTCGCTACCTTCCACTGACTTGACGCCCAGCCTGTTGAAGATGTCCGGAAGATGTAGCAGATGGCTCACTATTTTGTGACATTTTTTCAACAAAACATAAGACTGCTTTGGATTCTGAAATGTGGTTTGTGTGTGTGTGTGTGTGTATCCCAGATCTGAGCATTCTGTGCTGCAACATTTTGTCGCCGACCCCAATTTAGTCCACCCTTCACTTGAAATGTCACACTCATTCTACTGTGGTCTCCCTTCCCTTCAACAGAATCACAAAACCCAACAAATCAGCCGACATCATTGTCTCTCACGGTCTCATATTTCCACATTCCTGGCAAACTACCGAGGTCAGGAGCCCAGCAACATATAGGTTGTAGCAGAACAACGGAAGAAGCAAACGGGATAATCAGAGGTGCACAGATAAAAGTTTATTTTCAAATGTCATGATTTTAAAAGCTAAATTCATTCCTGATTTATACCTTTCAAATATGCATTTTTGGGGAATCCTAGGAGAGAATCACAGTCTATTGCTCTACCAACGTGTTCGGCTCTTTCAAAGTGGTTTTGGTGGCACTCTGCTCTTATATAAAAAGAAAACTCTCCCCCCCCCTTGGGCCCCATCCAGTATCATGAACTGTGCACTCGTAAGCATGTGCACTTGAGAGTAAATTCTACGGGTCACACTGACATATAACTTTCAGCCATCAGTTGTGGCTTTAGGTATTCATGATTATCAGGATGTATATAGATTTCAGTCATGGCACCATCAATCATTGTGGTAATTCATGCAGTGTATAAGGGCCAAAACAAAGGATCAGGCAGCTTCACAACTGGAGGAGATAAAGACATGAATCGTTGCAGAATTGGAGCTGCCCCCATTTGCAAAATCAGCATGGAAAAAGACCCCATTATTTCTTCCAGATGACTAACTTTCTCCCCTTCTGGTTGTAAAGGCACCTGTTATATCTGTTTTGGTTAGTCTTGTGAGCAAGTAAACAAGCTAGGAAGCAATAGCTTCACGTTGCATCCAACCTGGGGATTTTAGTTAAGTGCAGACAAACAAACCAGGATACTAAACCAGATTTATATGGTGCTGCCAATCCTGGATTGTTTGCAAGCACTTAGCCATGATCCCAGCTGAGATGTCACACAAAGCCCTTCTTTACCTAGCTTGGTTATCCAGACATTGTTGTTAATGAAAACAAGACTCCAGGCTTTCAACGGTTTGTGATCTTGACCGCTAAATTCAGTAAGGCTTTCTCCACGGTAAGTGTGCTTAAGAGTGTGGTCTTCTTTCTAGGGTCCCAAACACATCACTTCCCTCCCCCCAGTATTTAAAAGTTACAGGATCACTCCAAAATATGTAAATCTACAGGGTATTTCAGACTGACAACAGGTACACAGACAATGCAGCATTAATTTTTATTTGTTTATAAAATACTTCTTTTCTTAACTGTTTAGGATGAAGTAAAACCCTGTGTAGCATAAAGAAAGCACAAATTAGGGAGAGGAAAGAGAAATCTACAGCATGCCATGTTTTTAAAAAAAAGGAATGGAAAAGAAAAAGATGGTTGTTGGCTTAAAACAGTTGTCCCTGAAAAATATAATGTATAATTGTTTTTTCTATATCATAAACATGTAATGGAATTTAAGGTAATAAAACTGAAAGGTATAGCCACTATTCATTGGCCATGTTAGTACAACCATATCGAAGATGTTCAAAAAGATTAGCATCTGAACAGGTTTTGCTGTTGTTTCTAATGTTATATTTCTGCAGATTCATAGCCTCTGCCTTCAACACAAGTTTGGTCTGCAGGCATCCGGGTGGATAAAGATCAATGCTTTTTTTGAAAAAAATCAAATAGAATTAACTCATGATTTGAATCGCGATTTGAATTAAAAATTCAATTTCTAATGTAAACTTTTAAAAATGATTTTAAAATCAATTTAATTTAAATCAAACCCACCCTGCCTGGTGTGTAGCGGATAATGCTTTATTTGTCATTTTACCAAGCTATTCAAAGATACACACAATGCATGCCATACTGATGTTTAAAGGCATAAAGGCGACCTGATGTATTAAAAAAAAAAACACCCTGAAAACCTAAATCTAACTCTTGGCCAAACTTTTGTTTCTAAACTATTTTTCATTTATATATTTAAATTTAGCAAACACTGCATAATATTAAAAACCGAGCAACCTAGAGAGTTAGGTCTCCTCCTACCTTGAAAAATAAAAAGAGGGGAGAAATTGTAATGCTATTAATATTAACAAATTAAGTATAGAATGGAACTAACACCATGGGCTTTCTCCTAAGCGTACTTACCTTTCTCCTAAACTGGGGAAGGGGAAGAAAAAAAAAAGGAAACATGAACAAGGAATGTGAGCTTTGGAGTGGTACAACCCAAGGAAAGACAACATAATAACAATGGAAATGTGTGATTCCTCTCCCCCTTTAAATGAACCTGGAGATTTGTTTGTTTAATCTTTTTGGCTCTCACAAAAAGGCCCAGTAGAAATATTCTTTAATTTACTTGTAACTCCTAGATAAAAAGGCACACACTAACATTTCAAAGGTCTCTTCAAGACAATTTTGCTTTTGTTTCCTGTGAAGGTTGGGTTGTGCTTTTACATTACAAAATATATATAGTTTTTGTAAATAACACTGATGCATGATTTCTCCACAGTGTCTCATTCTCTAGGGCTCCGTTCTGCTAAAATGAAACTGTTCTAGCTGATTTTAAAAAAAACGGAATAGATGTAAGACAAACATGTTGACGTTATTGTTCTACACATACAAAAAGAAGTCTCTTCTGACACTATTTAGAGGCAACATCGACTCTTGGTAGAGCTTCATTCAGTGGAACCACATTTCAGAATAGTCCTTAGAGTAGGTAGGTAGGTAGGTAGGTAGGTAGGTAGGTAGGTAGGTAGGTAGGTAGGTAGGTAGGTAGGTAGGTAGGTAGGTAGGTAGGTAGGTAGGTAGGTAGGTAGGTAGGTAGGTAGGTAGGTAGGTAGGTAGGTAGGTAGGTAGGTAGGTAGGTAGGTAGGTAGGTAGGTAGGTAGGTAGGTAGGTAGGTAGGTAGGTAGGTAGGTAGGTAGGTAGGTAGGTAGGTAGGTAGGTAGGTAGGTAGGTAGGTAGGTAGGTAGGTAGGTAGGTAGGTAGGAAGGAAGGAAGGAAGGAAGGAAGGAGGGAGAAAGAAAGAAAGAAAGAAAGAAAGAAAGAAAGAAAGAAAGAAAGAAAGAAAGAAAGAAAGAAAGAAAGAAAGAAAGAAAGAAAGAAAGAAAGAAAAAGGAAGGAAGGAAGGAAGATTAAAGATAGACAGGGAGAAACAAGGAAGGAAGAATTGTTTTGAAGGTTATGTAAGCCTGTATTAGTTATTTCTTATATTGCAAGTGTCCAGACCCTTTCCTTACTGGGTGGCTCAAATTTAATTCACTTCCAGAGGAGATGATTGGCAATTTATTTTCCATGTGATAGCGAATAAGATGGTCCACACTGTCAAATACATGGTCTTTGGTTCTAACCTGGAAAAAAAAACAGGAGAAAATGGAAACCCATTATCAGAGTCACTGTAAGTCAGAATTGACTTGATGGCACTTTCATCATCATCATCATCATCATCATCATCATCATCATCATCATCATCATTATTATTATTATTATTATTAT